TTCCATAGTGGCTTTACGCGTTTACATTCCCACCAACAGTGGGTTAGGGTGTCTTTTTTCCCACATCTTCACCAGCATTTATTGTTTGTTGATTTCTGTATGAAAGTCATTCTAACTGGGGTGAGGTGAAACCGCCTTGTGGATTTGATTTGTAACTCCCTGATAGGTAGTGATCCTGAACACTTTTTCATGTGTCTGTTGGCCATTTGGATTTCCTCTTTTGAAAAATGTCTATTGAGGTCCTTGGCCTATCTCTTAAGTGGGTTGTTTGTTTTGTTGTTGAGGAGTTTATCGATCTCTTTGTAGCTTCTGGTTATTAATCCTTTATCTGTTGCATAGTTTGCAAATAATTTCTTCCATTCTGTTGGTTGCCTCTTCACTTTCCTGAGTGTTTCTTATGCAGTGCAGAAACTTTTCAATTTGATGTAATCCCAATTGTTAATTTTGGCTTTGATTGCCTGTGCCTCTGGGCTCTTTGCCAAGAACTCTTTGCCAGTGCCAATGTCTTGCAGGATTTCTCCAATGTTATCTAATAATGTGATGGTGTCGGGTCGTAGATTTATATCTTTAATCCATTTTGAGTGGATTTTTTGTAAGACATAGGGTGGGGATCTTGCTTCATACTTCTGCATATGGAAATCCAGTTTTCTCAGCACCATTTGTTGAAGAGGCTATCCTTGCTCCAGGGATTGGTTTTAACTCCTTGGTCAAATATAATTTGGCTGTAGATGCTTGGAATGATTTCTGGTGTTTCAAATCTGTTCCACTGGTCTATCATCTGTTTTTGTACCAGTACTAGGTTGTTTTGATTATAACTGCTTTGTAGTATGTCTTGAAATCTGGTATTGTGATGCCTCCAGCTTTGTTTTTGTTGTATAAGTTTGCTTTAGCTATTTGAGGTCTCCTGTGCCTTCATATGAATTTTAGCATCATTTTTTCTAGATCTGAGATGAATGTCTTTGGTATTTTGATTTTTTTTTTTTTTTACAGGCAGAGTGGAAGAGTGGACAGTGAGAGAGAGAGAGACAGAGAGAAAGGTCTTCCCTTGCCATTGGTTCACCCTCCAATGGCCGCCACAGCCAGCGCACTGCGCCAATCCGAAGGCAGGAGCCAGGTGCTTCTCCTGGTCTCCCATGGGGTGCAGGGCCCAACCACTTGGGCCATCCTCCACTGCACTCCCTGGCCACAGCAGAGAGCTGGCCTGGAAGAGGGGCAACCAGGACAGAATCCGGCGCCCCGACCGGGACTAGAACCCGGTGTGCTGGTGCCGCTAGGCGGAGGATTAGCCTATTGAGCCATGGTGCTGGCCTTGATTGGTATTACATTGAATCTGTAAATTGATTTCAGAAGAATGGATATTTTGATGATATTGATTCTTCCAATCCATGAACATTAAAGATTTTTCCATTTTTTGGAATGTTTTTTATTTCTTTCTTTACTGTTTTGTAATTCTCATCATAGAGATCTTTGACATCCTTGGTTAAATTTACTCCAAGGTATTTGTTTTTGTAGCTATTGTGAATGGGATTGTTCTTAGAAGTTCTTTCTCAGCCTTGGCATTGTCTGTGTATACAAAGACTATTGATTTTTGTGTATTGATTTTCTATCCTGCTACTTTACCAAACTCTTCTATGAGTTCCAATAGTCTTTTGGTGGAGTCTTTTGGATCCCCTATATATAGAATGTCATCTGCAAATAAGGATAGTTTGACTTTCTCCTTCCCAACTTCTATCCCTTTGATTTATTTTTCTTTCCTAATGGCTCTGGCTGAAACTTCGAGGATTATATTGAATAGCAGAGGTGAGAATGGGCGTCCTCTCAAAAGCGAGACCCACTCCTTCCAGAGACAGACAGTTAGCCCTCAAGGTTAATTTTGTTTTTCTTAAGCACTCTCAGCTTCACTCTGGAGAAAAGAATGGTCTCTTTTCCACCACCCCAGGTGCTCTCAGAGACCTTGTGATCTGGTACAGCTGAAAGCTGTTCCAAATGGTTGTGGGAATAGGGCCAGCATTGTGGTATAACAGGTTAAGCCGACGCTTGCAATGCCAGCGTTCCATCTGGGCACCAGTTTGAGTCCTGCCTGCTCCACTGCCAATACAGCTCCCTGGAAGAAGCAACAGAAGGTCACTCCAGTCCCCGGGCCCGTGCCACCCACGTGGAAGGCCTGGAAAAGGCTCCTGGCTCCTAGCTTCAGTCTGGCCCAGCTCCAGCTGTTGCAGCCATTTGGGGAATGAACCAGTAGATGAAGATCCTCTCTCTCTCTCTCTCTCTCTCTCTCTCAATCTCTCTGTATCTATCTATCTATCATCTATCTATCTACTTATCTAACTCTGCCTTTCAAGTAAATAACATAAATCTTTTATTAAAAAAAAAGGTTGTTGGATCTAAAAGGTCCAGTACTCCAGCATGTTCAAAAAATCAGTTTTAAAAAGGAACCGTGGCTTATCAGACTGACGGTGACACACAAGTGCACACTTGCTTCTCCCTGGTGGGGGCAGCAGGGAACACCAGCTGCCCGTGAAGCATCTTTAGCAAGCCAGACCTTGAGCGATCGTGCCACAGTTCCCTGGAACCTCTGCTGCAAACAGCCTGTGTTTGTGAGCGTTTGAACACAGTGACACAATTGTCACAGCACATGCTCTTATTACTCTTAGCACCAAGCTCCAGGATTCCAAGCCAACAGAATTCACTCTGTTCCCAAACCTCCTGTTGCAAGCTGCTAACTTCTGCATCTCCTGGTCCTTAAACTAAGGGGTTGGACATTAAAAATAATAATAAATAAATAAATAAATAAATAACATGATGTCATTTGTAGCAACATGCATGCAAGTTGGGGACATTATGAAAAATGAAATAAGCCTGGCACAGGAGGACAAATACCGCACGTCCTCTCTCTTTTGTGGAAGCTACAATAGTGAATCAGTCCGAAGTGGAGGCCAAAGAGTAGTTCTAATGTGTAGCAACCACAGTAGGGTAACCATAGTCTACAACAGCTAGTCAGACATCTCAGAATCATTAGAGGGGAAGAATTTGAAGGTTCCCAAGACACAGGAATGGTAATTTTTGAGGAGATGGAAATGCTAATTACCCTGATCTTAACATCACACATTGTATGCATATATGGAGTTATAATACTGTAGCTCCTAAGTAAGAACAAATATTGTATGTCAATGAATGAAATCTGAGAGCTGAGAATTTCTGAAGGGTAAAGGGTCCCTGATTTCTCATTTCCCTCGTTTCCTGCAGGAATAACAGAGGATGAGGTGGTCTAATGCACTCACAAGGTTTTTCCTGACCTTCTCACTAGCCAGGGAGGTGAGGCCATGTGCAGCTTAATTTTCAAGGAAATGTGTGGTCTCAGCTTGCCCTTCTTTTTGCTTCACTTTTTTTTTTTTCCCCCCTCGGAGTAGAGCGTGGTGGCACAAACCTGCCCTCTAGTGGGCGATGGGAAGAATTTAAAGCATGATAAACAGTTGACCCACCAGAGAAATGATTTGATGCTAGTGGCCTTCCCATGATGCCCAGACTGAACTTGCAGAGCATACCTACAAAAAAATTGTGAGTTTTTTCCTCCTTAAGAAACCTAATGGCTGTGGGAGAAAAAAGTGGCATCAAGAAGAGGGGAAAGCACTGAGCTTGGCGTCATCTCGTCATGGCACTGACCAGTCATGACCTTGGGTTGATGTCGTCCCCAGCCATCTCCTCTCTCAAGCTGGCACAATAGCGTCTGCATCAGAGGAGTGTGGAGAGAGTCGAGGGCACTCTGGACACATTATATGTGCTAAGATCGAGCTTCACGGGCCCAGGCCACAGGCAATGGAGTGTATGAACACCTCCACGCAGCCCCCTGTAGCCTGGTTGAAGTCCAGCTCTGCTGTGTATTGGATGGATGTGCTATGGCCTGTTTTCTTACTCTCTTTGTGCCTCTGTTTCTTCACCTCTCACCTGAAGGTAACATGACTGCTCCCAAGGGTCGTAATGAGCAGTAAGTGAATTGCAGAACCATATCGGATGGCTCATGGCAAATATTTGTTCTAAATTTTTCACATACAACAGTTAAAGTAAAAAAGTGTGTATTGTGTTCCTATTAAATTCACAAGTTTAAAAGCATGAAATTGTTTATAATGTAGCAAGGGAATAATATTAAAAACAGCTTAGACTTACTAAGCACTTTCAAAGCCACACGCTTGGGAACACCTTCTAAGTATTTCTTTGTTTAATACTGATGCTACTAGCAGCTAGAATTTATCAAATGTTGCTATTTCAGTCACTCTTGGCACCAACCCCTAAGACAAGGCTATTCTTAACCCAATTCTCTTTTCTTTAGCCATCGTTTCCTCATTTCCCCCACTTTATTCCTTTCCTGATTAAGATTCATAATCTATCATTTCAATCACTTCTTAGTTTCACATTCAAATACTCCCCTTCCCTCCCCAGCACACACGCACTGGAGCCTGGCACAAACTTGCTAAGAGCAGGCACTTCGGTTCCCTGTGGTATTCCCAGTACCTGGAAGAGTGCTGGCACAGTAAGCACTTAAACATTTGAGGTACCAATGAGTTCTTCTTTTATGGAAAAGGCAATTGCCTTCATAAGGCCCTGGAGTGAGATTTGAACCCAGATTTGTGTTGACCAAAGGAAGCCGCTAAACTGTGGGTACTGCAGGAACTGAGAAACAAGGGTGGTGGAGGAGGTTGGAGGAGGCAGTCAGGTGGGTCTGGAAGGAGGAAGACTCCCAAGGAAAGATAAGAGGGAGATGTTTTAGAGAGAAGAGAAAGGAGAAAGGGTGGCACAAAGGCACAGGCATGGAAGGCCAACTTCACTCAGGCAGAGCCTGCAGATGAGACTCATTTGTCTTTGCTTACTCTAATCCAGCCAGGCGCCGTGAATAGATTTGCCTTAATACAATTGTTCCCAGTCCAGTTGTTGAACGCTAAAGAGAAAAGTGACTTTCCCGCGGGTGTCTGAAATATACATCAAAATTAAAGTTTTTTTTTAAAGAAAATACAGATTGCTTCACAAATTTGTGTATCATCCTTGTGCAGGGATCATGTTAATCTCTGTATCATTCCAATTTTAGTGTATACGCTGCCCAAGTGAGCACAAACTTAAGCTTTTAAAAGTCTGGATATATGATTCCCTCATCAGATTTATTTCCGTTGAAATTATTTTTATATTTTTTTTTCAAAGATACATTTATTTATTTGAAAGGCAGAGAGGGAGGGAGAGAAAAGATCTTTTCATCCACTAGATCTCGCCCCAAATGGCCACAACAAGCCATGCTGTACCGGGCTGAAGCCAAGAGTAGAGAACTCCACCCTGGTCTCCCATGTGGGTCGCAGGGGCTCAAGCTCTGGGCCATTTTCTGAGGCCTTTCCAGGTGCATTAGCACAAAGCTGAATCAAAAATAGAGAGCCAGAACCTGAACTACCCCTCTGATATGGGATGCTGGTGTGGCAAGAAGCAGTTTAGCCCAGGGCACTACAACGCTGTCCTCTGGGCTGAAATCAGTCCACTGAAGTACGAACTACTGGGGGCACGTGGCACAGCAGTCAAGGCTCTACTTGGATGTCTGCATTTCCATTTGGAAGGTTTGGATTTGAGCCCTGGCTCCACTTCTGAGTCCAGCTTTTTTGCTAAAAAAAAGCAGCAAGTGATGGCTCAGGTACATGGATCCGTGCTACTCACGTGGCAGACTCAGATTGAATTCTCAGCGCCTGGCTTGTGGGCATTTGGGGACTGAAACTGCCACTCACATGGGCAGCTTGGGTTGAGTTCCTGGCTCCTGGCCTCAGACTGGTCCAGCTTCTTACGGATGTGGGCGTTTTGGAGGTGAACCAACAGATGGAAAATCTCTCTCTGAATCTGCCTTTCAAAATAAATAAGAATTTTTTAAAAATATGTCAACCTTTGGGTAAACTCTTGTAGGAAAACTTCAACCTACATAATCTTGCTTAAATACAAAACTAAACTTGTACCAATAACAGTTTTTCTCTATCTACAATTCCTAAGTAGCAAAAAATATATATATAAATAAAAAAATCCAACAAAATAAAAGCTACTGATGCATATTCTAAAGAGTAAAAAACAACCCTACTCTCATGTATCTGCAAACTCCATTGTAAGAAATAAAAATAATTTTTAAACTCCAAAAGAGGCTTTCAACTCTAAGAAACTCCACCTGCCTGAACTCAGTTCCCAGTATTTAAAAAGAAATCTTAAATTCTAGCTTCTGTAACTTTTTTTCAAGATTTTGTACAATTGTCTTATTAGGAAGAAAAGGACAGTACTTTATGCTTTTTCATGCTTCAACCCATTCACTCAGACATGCCAGAGCTCTCGCATGGTAGCGTTTAACATTTCTTGATTCCCATACCATAAAGGGGAACTTGACATTTCAAGTCAAAAGATGTGAGGACATTTACCAAGACCACGAAATTCTTCAGGAGGTGATTATCATGCTTTAATACTTTTCTTCAAAAATTATAAACTATTTCAAGGGCAGTGACAGTAAATTGAACTCAAGGGAATATACATGTTTAATAATGTAACTCAGATGTAAATCTATGGGGATGGTGTTGTGGCTTAAGGGATTAAGTTGCTGTGTGCAATGCTGGCATCACATATTGAAGCCAGTTTGAGTCCTGGATGTTCCATTTTTGGTCCAGCTCCCTGCTCGTGCAGCTGGTAAAGCAGCAGAAGAGACCCACATCCTCAGGTCCCTGCACACATGTGGGAGACCTGGAAGAAGCTTCTGGCTCCTGGCTTTGGCCTGGCCCAGCCTTGGCAGTTGCAGCCATCTGGGTAGTGAACCAGCAGATGGAATTCCCTCTCTCTCTCTCTCTCTCCCCTCTCTCTGTAACTCTGCCTTTCAAATAAATAAAATGAATCTTTGAAAAAAAAAAGAGAAATCTATTTTCACAAAAGTTTCAGGATGTTTAAGATGAATTTCAGAGACACAATGGGCAGTGTTCTAATGATAGAAAATACTGTTAACTATACCAACTTTAACAGAGTCAATAACACTTGCTTTTGGGTTAACTATCAGATTTTAAAATATATGCAAAACTGTTACTGCTTAAGAAAACAATATCCTGTAAGAGAGAGAAAACAGAATTTTAATCAATATATTAAAAGCTAAAAGCCTTCTCATGCAAGACAATCTCCAGTTAAAAGACACTTAGGATGGGCATTGGGCCCAGTGACTAACAAGCACCTTGGGATGCCTGCATCCCATATCACAGTGCCTGGGGTTGAGTCCCAGGTCCACTCCCAATTCCAGCTTCCTGCTACTGCGCACTCTGGGAGGCAGCAGGTGATGGCTCAAGTACTTGGATCTCTGCCACCCATATGGGAGATCTGGATTGAGTTTTTGGCCTGGCCCAGCCCTAGCTGTTGTGGGTATTTGGTGAGTGAACAAATGACGGTTTAACCTGCTGCACCACAATGCCATGGCCTCTTCAGACTTTCCAGCATCCTCCCAGTGAATTCTGATTTGTGATTTGAGACATTGATTTAGAAATCCTCGCTGAAGTGGTAAGAACAGAAAACAAAATAAATGATAATGGTGGAAATAAGGACACAAGACAACTTTCACTTGTTGATGGCATGATTCAGTACTGAGAAACCCTAAAAATCTTTATAAAAATTCTCTAGGATAAACTAGCATAAGCACATAAGATATATAAGTCTATATATCACATAGGAATAAATTTAGCAGCAATAGATTAGGATCTAAAAGATAAAAGTATAGCATATTGTTATGAATATAAAACTTCAATGCATAGAAACATCATATACTGGATAAAAAGGGTTAATATTGAAAAAATATGAATGTGATACAATAATTAAAATTGTAGCCTGATTTTTATTTATTTATTTATTTACACATCATCATTTACATTTACATCATTTCAGTAAATTGAAAGTGTGTGGCTGGCGCCGTGGCTCACTAGGCTAATCCTCCGCCTGCGGCACCGGCATCCTGAGTTCTAGTCCCGGTTGGGGTGCCAGATTCTGTCCCGGTTGCTCCTCTTCCAGTCCAGCTCTCTGATGTGGCCCGGGAGGGCAGTGGAGGATGGCCCAGGTCCTTGGGCCCTGCACCCACATGGGAGACCAGGAGGAAGCCCCTGGCTCATGGCTTCGGATCAGCGCAGCGCGACGGCGGCAACGCACCAGCTGTAGCGGCCACTTGTGGGGTGAACCAACGGAAAAAGGAAAACCTTTCTCTCTCTCTCTCTCACTGTCTAACTCTGCCTGTCCAAAAAAAAAAAAAAAAAAAAGTGTATGACCATAGAACACAAAATGTAGGGTGTTATTTATTTATTTATTTATTTGAAAGTCAGAGTTACACAGAGATAGAAGGAGAGGAAGAGAGAGAGTGAGAGAGGTCTTCCCTCTGCTGGTTCACTCCCCAAATAGCCACAACAGCCAGAACTGTGCTGATCCGAAGCCAGGAGCCAGGAGTTTCCTCCAGATCTCCCACACAGGTGCAGGGGCCCAAGGACTTGGACCATCTTCTGCTTTCCCAGGCCATAGCAGAGAGCTGGATGGGAAGTGGAGCAGCTGGGACTCTAAATGGTGCCCATATGGGACAATGGCACTGTAGGCAGCAGCTTTACCTGCTATGTCACAGCGCCAGCCCCAAAATGTAGTTTTTACTTAAACAGTTACATGACTGAGGCTGTTTTTAATTTTCTTCACTGACAACCCCATTTTCCCCGTTGAATAAATTGTACTTAAATTAGTGGAGAATCTGCTCTTTCAGTGACTTCCCCGAGGCCTCTGCTGGGTGTGGCCAGGGAGCTCTGTTCAGTGCTCCAGGAGAGTGTCCACACCCAAATTCCATGTGGTTTATTCAGCTCTATTGGCATAGTATCACATTCACCTCCTCTCCTCCAAGGAGACCAATGCCTGGTTGCTAGCCCCTGTAGGTACAGTATGTCTGCAGCCACAGGAACCACACAAAGGATGTGTGCAGTGTTCAGTGTGAGCACAGATCCCGCAGCAGTGACTCTCACCAGGGAGTCAGGGAGCCCTGAGCACATGGAGCCATCCAGTGACTGCTCGAAGACCCAACCACACCCTGTGTCCTCCCATGCAGCCACAGTGTTTTCACAGTCCCGGCACACAAGCTTCCCACAGTCACAAGCACCCAGCCTCCTGTCACTTCTCCCAGCCAGACTCAAGCGTCTCCTCAGCTCATTTCTGGGCACATGGGGAGAAGCTGGCACAGCTGTTACGTATGTCCAAAATGGTGCCTGCTCTCTTTCGGCTAGTTGCAGGATGCAGGTGCCAGGTGGTTGGGGAGCGAGAAATATGCCCCCCTTTTTTCCCTCTAGGTTGGAAGGTACACAGTCCCCACAGGGCTCCAAGCTGGACTAATGCTTCCCACAGCTTTATTGCCAGTGGCTTGGGCTGCTGTAATCTGGTCTCACCTCACTCTCCAAAGCTGGTGCTGAGGCTCTCGGCTGCTAGAGCTGTGTGCGTCCACACTCTCCACATAGATCCACATTGTCCCTCTAATTTGCATGGAGTTTCCTCTGCTGTTTTCTCCCTAACTCTTCCCTGAGATTGGAGTCTCTCCATGTTGGTTTTTTTTTTTTTTTTAAAATGATCTTCCCCTAGACTAGAGCAGTAGGCTCCCTCCCTATGCCACCATCTTGGTGATTCCAACCTGCTTTTCTTTCCTTTTCAAATGGACTAAGGGAGATATATAAAGCTAATTTTTAAAAGAACTATTTATTTATTTAGAAGTCAGAGTGAAAGAGACATACAGAGAGAGGCAGAGACAGAGAGAGGTCTTCCATCTATATAAAGGTTCACTCCCTAAGTGGCCACTACAGCCCTGGCTGGGCCAGGCTGAAGCCAGAAGCCAGGAACTCCATCCCAGTCTCACATACGGGTGGTATGGGACCAAATGCTTGGTCCATCTTCTGCTACCTGCCCAGGAGCCAGATTGGAAGCAGAGCAGCCAAGGACTCAAACTGGTGCTACATTATGGGATGCCAGTGTCCCAGAGGCAATTTAACCTGCTGTGCCACAACACTGGCCCCATAAGACTATTATAAAGATCAAAATGTCCCACAGACTTTGGCAATAGAT